AGGCCAAGGCTGCTCAGAGAAACCTTGTCTCAATAAAACAAAATAAATGATAAATAAAAAGATACAGAAGTCTTTCTGTCCAAATGAACTGCTTTCACATTTTTATTTTATTTTATATTTTATTTTATTTTATTTTATTTTATTTTATTTTATTTTATTTTATTTTATTTTATTTTATTGGTTTTTCAGTACAAGACCTCTCTGTTGTCTTGGCTGTCCTGGAATTTGCTCTGTAGGCCAAGCCTGCCCCTGCCTCCTGCATGCTGGGCCTAAAGGTGTGCTGCCCAGGTGTTTTCATGGTATTTAAAGACTTTGTAGCCGGGCGGTGGTAGCGCATGCCTTTAATCTCAGCACTTGGGAGGCAGAGGCAGGCGGATTTCTGAGTTCGAGGCCAGCCTGGTCTACAGAGTGAGTTCCAGGACAGCCAGGGCTACACAGAGAAACCTTGTCTCAAAAAGCAAACAAACAAACAAAAAGACTTTGTAGACCAAGTGGTGACAGCTCACGCCTGTGATTTCAGGACATAGGAGGCCACCAGAAGTTTGATATTTGGCTAAATATCCTGGCTCAAAATATAAAAGTTAGGGCTTGGGGTCAGCAGTCTGTAAAATACTTGTTTCACAAGGTTTCCCAAACTCACATAGGAAACATGAGGTGACACACACATAGCCCCAGCATAGGCAGACAGAGAGTTCCTGAAGTTCTCTGACAAGCCAGCAGCCCTGGGACCCAGCAAGAGACCTGTCTCAGAAGACAGGTTAAATTATCACAAAGAACACTGGAGGTTGACCTCTAACCTCCACATGAACATGACACCTGCACACATGAAAACAAGCACACACACACACATACACACACACAAATGTTTAAAAACTTCTTTGTATCCTTGAGTATAAATGTTTTATTTGGAAAGTATTAATAATGTTAGAAGAACTCACCTAAAACTGGTCTTTCACAGGTCTAGTTGTTTGTTTCTAGAGCTTTCATCTGTTGTCTGCATGAATGTTGTGTACTTGCGTGCCAGATGCACAAGGAAGCTACAAGAGGGTATCCGACCCCCTGGAACTGGAGTCAGAGATGGCTGTGAGCTGCCATATGGTGCTGGGAATTGAACCCAGGTCCTGTAGAAGAACAGCCAGTGCTCTTAACCACTGAGCCATCTCTCCAGCCTCGTATTTTATCTTTTACAAAGTTGTTCCTATAATATATTCTAAAAGCTTCTTTATCTCTTCAAAAATTACTCGTTTCTGCTCATTTACAGATAACCTGTCAACATAATTGAGTACGTTACCATCTGTAGTTGTTCTAATGATTCTTCTCTGACTTTTCAGTGTATGTGTTCATGTGTGTGGTGTACACATACATGTGGGGTATGTGTGATCATATGTGCAGAGGCCAGAAGAGGATGTCAGATGACCTCTGTCACTTTCCTTGAGACGGTCTCTCACTGAACCTAGAGCTAAGCTGATGGCCTCCTTCTGTCTCTGCCTCACAGAGATGGGCTTATAGCACATACAGCCATGCTCAGCTTTTTACATGGGTGCTGAGATCCAAATTTCAGGCCCTCGTGGATGCAGGGTGTGAAGGCCCTCGTGGATGCCCGGTGTGAAGGCCCTCGTGGATGCACAGTGTGAAGGCCCTCGTGGATGCAGTGTGATGGCCCTCATGGATGCACAGTGTGATAGCCAGTCTTGGTTGTCAACTTGACTTACCTGGGGAAAGAGACCTCAGGTGAGGAATTCCCTTTAGCATATTAGCCTTTGGATAAATCTATGAGGCATTTTCTTCATTGCTAATTGATGTAGAACGGCCCAGCCCACTGTGGGCGGTGCCATCTGTAAGAAAAGTAGATGGACAAGCCAGAAGAGGAAACCAGTAAGCAGTGTTCCTCTGTGGCCTCTGCTTCAGTTCCTGCCTTGGCTTCCCCCATGGACCGTGACCTTAAGAGTTATAAGCTGAAATAAACCCTTTCTTCCCCACATTTGTTTTGGTCGGTGTTTTATAACAGCAACAGAAAACACCAGAGCATATGGCAAGGGCTCTCACCCTGAGCCATCTCTCTGGCCTCCTGACTTTTTTCCATGTGCACTGACATTTTGCCTGTATGTGTTTTTGTGTGAGATCCCCTGGAACTGGAGTTACGGACACTTCTGAGCTGCCATGTGGGTGCTGGGCATTGAACCCAAGTCCTCTGGAAGAGCAGCCAATGCTCTTAACCACTGAGCCATCTCTCCAGCCCCCCGACTTGCATTCTGTATAATGTGGTCAGTGATCATGACTTTTTTTGTTGTTGTTTTTTGAGACAGATTCTCTGTATAGCCCTGGCTGTCCTGGAACTCACTCTGTAGACCAGGCTGGCCTCGAACTCAGAAATCCGCCTGCCTCTGCCTCCCAAGTGCTTCGATTAAAGGCATGCGCCACCACCGCCCAGCGTGATCATGACTTCTAAAAACTATTTCCATAGCCATCTATCCATAGTCTCTAGAGAGACAGCTCAATAATTAAGAGCGCTGTTGCTCTTGCAGAGGACCCAGGTTCAATTCCTAGCAACTACATGGCAGCTCACAATCACAGACATCTGTAATTCCAGTTCTAGGGGATCTGATCCCCTATTCTGGCTTGCACAGGCATCAGGCATCCATGCATGCAGGCAAAACACTCATACACATAAAGCCAAAAAGAAAAATGGTCGTTGGGGCTGGAGAGATGGCTCAGGTAGTAGGAGCACTTGCTGCTCAATCATGAGAACCAGAATTTGGATCCTAGTAACCATGTTGGGGAGCTCAACCACCCCACAACTCCAGCTCCAATGGATCCAGTTCTCTTTTCTGGCTGCCACGGTCACCCACTGTACTGGCTGGTTTTGATTCAAGCTGGAGTTATCAAAATCTATAGAATCTATAGAAGTGCTAGGTTATGTCAGATCCACCATGATGCATTATGAAATCACGTTGAGGATAACACAGCATGATCTTTTTTTTTTTCAGATTTACTAACAAGCTTTTGAGTATATGACAGGGTCTCACTATGTGTAGCCCTGGAAGGACTGGAACTCTTATGTAGACCAGGATGGCCTTGAACTCACAGAGTTCCTCCTGCATCAGCCTCAAGTGCTGATTGAGTCCCAAGCAACACCACTGAGCTACACTCCCAGGCAGCGTGTATGCACCTCCCACAATATATGCATAGTGTCAGAAGGCAGCTTGCAGGAGTTGGTGTTCCTTCCATTGTGTGAGTTCTAGGAATGTAACTCAGGTCATCAGCACCTTCACCTACTGAGCAACTCACTGGTCCCCTAACCCTATTTTTATGTTTACTTTGAGACACGGTCTTAGTTGCCAAGACTGTCCTTGGACTCTGTACCCCAAGCTATCCCTGAACTTTGTCTTCCTGCATCAGGCACCTAAGTAGCTGTGGTTACAGGCTTGAGCTGCTACACCCCCAGCTGTGATGGTGTTGGGGACAGCATTGACAGGTCAGAGACACGTGGACCCTGGATGCCTCAAAGGCACAAGAAGGCAGATGCAGAGTTGATTATGTGACTGGGACACAGCTGCATTTCAGACAGAACCCGGGCCATTTTGAAGGTGATTGGATGCAAATGGCACTTACCACACTTTTCACATTAACCCAGGCTGGCCTAGGACTTGCCAAGTAGCCAAGGATGAACATGATCTCCTCTTCCTGCCTCTACCTCCCAAAGACTGGGATTGCAGCTGTGTTCCACCACAGACAGCTGTCTTGTAGTTTTCTAAGATTATTGACAGGCAGTTGCAACCGTGGGAGAGATACAGCAGTATATTACACTCAAGTAAATGAAGTGCCACTCTGTGGTGAAAAGAGGTATGGAATTACCAAGAGAAACAGCTACAAGAACCGTGATGGGGAACAAAAAAAAATCTTTCCTGAGAAGGAAACTTCTTGAGAAAATATGCCAGGAAGGTGGATCACTGGGTAGAGGCGTTTGCTTCCCAAACCTGAGTTTGGATCCACATGGTAGGATGGAACTGCCTCCTAAAAGTTATCTCCTGATCTACACATGCCATGGCTCGAACATGTGTGCACACACAAAACTATATGCGGCACAGAAGCCAGAGTCAAGCACAACTAGCAACTTGAGTTCGAAAAGGGTGGAAGGAGAGAACTCCACAAAGTTGAATTTGACCTCCACAGGCACACGGTTCCATCTTATATAGACACACTAAAAAACAGCCCGGAGGTTAAAAAGCACATTTTTCTTGCAGACATCCAGGTTCAGTTCCCAGCACCTGTGTGGTAGCTCAAAACTACCTTGTTCCTGCTGGAGAGGTGGCTCAGTGGTTAAGAGCACTATCTCCTCTTCCAGGTCGGTCTCTCTCTATCTCCTCTCGGATAGTAATCAAACCCAGGACTTTACACCCTAGGCAAGTTCTCAACCACTGAGCTATCTCTAGCCTAGTTCACAAGTACCTTTTAACTCCAGTTCCAGGGAATCCAATGCCCTCTTTTGATCTCCTTGGGATCCAGGCACACATACGGTGTGCATATACAAATATGTAACAAAACGCCTATACACTTGTTGGTTGGTTGGTTTTTCGAGACAGGGTTTCTCTGTATAGCCCGGGCTGTCCTGGAACTCGCTCTGTAGACCAGGCTGGCCTCAAACTCAGAGATCCACCTGCCTCTGCCTCTGGAGTGCTGGTATCAAAGGCGTGCGCCACCACTGTTAATTCCAGTTTTCTGGAGGCTAAAGCAGGCGGATCTGAGTGTATAGATGGGTTCCAGGCGAGCCAAGGGTATATGGACGCTGCCTCAAACAAAAACGCCAACAACAATACCATTAAAGAATGTGACGGAGCCCCTACTGGCTTCAGAACTGGAGGCGGCCATGGCGGTAACGACACGCGTCACCCCTAGAGGGCGATAGAGCTCGCTCCGCGCGCCGTGCTTGCGCAAGCACTTTTGTTTTCCAGGGGGCCGGGGCCCGCGCATGCGCACAGCGTCACACCGCCGCCGGAGCAGGTTCCTCGGTGCTTCTGAGGACTCGGCGATCCGCAATGTCCGAGCTGCCCGGAGACAGCAGGATCCCGGGGCTGAGCCCCATGAACGGCGTCGGCGACGTCCTGCAGGCGGGGATGGGCGGAGGCAGTCAGATTCCCGAAGGCCAGGAAAGCCCGCTGGCCAGAGCCGCCCGGTCCATGGCGCAGGCGCCCGGCCTGGCTCCCGGGCAGTTCCCCGGCGTGGCGGGCCTGATGGCGATCCCGCACGTCCACGCGCCGCTCCTCCTCCTCGAGCTGTACGAGCAGCGGATGTTCCAACACTACCTGCACACCAACCCCCTGATCCCCACCAGGGTGCTCCAGGACATCGAGGAGCGCCGCCGGCTGTTCGTGGAGGGCTGCAGGGCCAGGGAGGCGGCCTTCGACGCCGACCCCCCGCAGATGGACTCGGACGGCCGCGACTTCATGCTGGCGCTCATAGCCTCCGACGCCCGCGGCCCACCGCCGACCGAGGGGTGGCCTTCGCCTATAATCCCACCCTCAGGAGGGAGGAGCCCGGAGGATCAGGAGTTCGAGGTCATCCTCCGCTAAGTAGCAAGTTGGAGGCCAGCCTACAGGCTTTTAAAATTTTAAAAAAAAAAAAAAATTTTTTTTTTTTAAAGAAGATTGGTGGCCAGGAAGTCAGGTGACTCTTAGGATCAAGGGCGAAGGCAGATGTCTGGGCAAATGTCATGAGGTGGGACATCCAAGCCAGAATGCAGCCATGGGCAGGATGGAATGAAGCAGGCTCAGAAAGACATGGACACTCGAGGCTTGAGGCTGACAAGCAGAGGACTCTTCTGACTCCCACCTAGTGACTGTCAGCAATCTTTCCCTCCCCTGCATTTGTTGAAAATCATGTTTGCTTCACTGTGAAGGACGATGGTTTTGCAAAGATGAAGTCTAAGAATTACCAATGAGAGAGATGATAGAAATCAACGGAGACGCGGGAAGAAACCGGGGACATGTGCCTGTGACACTCAGTTGTTCCTAGATTTTATTGGAGTAAGAAGACTGTCAACAACTTGGACATTTCAGGATTAGGGGTCATCTCATTGTCAGCTGAGAAGCTCAGTGTATCGTTAATTCTTGTGTTTGATGTTCTGTAGACAAGTTGTAAATATTCAGATAGGAAAATCATGTATGTGTTGTGAGATGAACATTTTTCAGGACCCTGTGTAATTGTATCCATGTGGAAATAGATGGGTTAATATTTAAATAATACAGACACAAGACTCAAAATTAGCAAAAGACACTACGAGAAGTTCAACTTTTCTGCCAAATCAAAAACAGGTATCCATACAGATATGGGTTAAGATGAGAAGTTGTTTTCTGTAGGGTTTTAAGAACTGTTTTATAAGGTGTGTATGAGTTGGTACCAGTCTCGTTCTCCCCCAATCCTGGGTGCTGTGGATGGACCCCAAGCCTGCTTGCCCTGCTCCCAGTCCTTCTGAATGAAGGTAGGGTAGGATCATGGCTCAGTGGTTACAGGTATCTGCTGCTAAGCCTTGTTACTGAATTTGATCCCGGGCGGGACCCATGAGGTGGAAGAAGAATCCGCACCCGTTTCCTCTGAGCACCATGCATGTGTGCATACACATGCGATGTGAAAAAGACTCCATGATCAGCATCTTGGGTTTTTATGTGTTCGGTTATAATGGAAGTAATTCTATATCTTTTTTTTTTTTAATGACTACTATTTAAGTCTGTATCTTAACGTGTTTAATGAACTAGTTGTCTTCTGGACATCTGGATTGTTTGAAAATGTTTCCTTTTTGTTGTTTTAAAGAGTTACGTGTATGTGTGTGAGCCTGCATGTGTGTGTGTGTGTGTGTGTGTGTGTGTGTACCATGTCGGTGCAAGAAACTGAGGAGACCAGAAGAGGGTGATGGGTCCCCAGAACAGTTTCAGGCAGCTGTGATACCCCATGTTGGTTCTGGGAACTGAACCCACTTCACTGAATCATCTCTCCAGTCTTATTTTTTGGTTGGAAACAGGGTCTCCCTTTGTAACTCTGGCTGGCTTAGAACCTGCCAAGTGGGTAGACCAGGCTAGCCTGCCTCCTGCCTAGCTTTTCTGTGTTTTTTTTTTTTTTGGGGGGGGGGTGGGGGTTTGTTCGTTGGGGGTTTTTTGAGATTGGGTTTCACGGAACTAGATCTGATCATGAATTCCTTGATCTACTTCCCAGGTCCTGGAACTGAGGGTGTGTATCACTGTCCCTGGCATTGCTTCTGTAATGTTCTTTGCTGTGCTTGCTCTTCCTGCATGAATGAACAGGAGTGGTTACAGGGCAAAGGCACTGGTGTTTCTCATAGGTATTCCCAGCCTGCTTTGGGCCTCTGTCTATTTCCTTTCACTAAGGAACACTTGTGCCTCTTCACAACCCAGTCTTGGCTTTGGGAAAAACTCACAGTGAGACTCACATCTCTCTGCAAAGGGGACTCTTTTCAATGTGTAAGGGCCATTTGTTTGGCTTTACTTTCCTGTGTATTCATAGCCTTTGTTTGCCAAATCCACATGTAACTCACCAGAAAGGCAATTCGAGATGGGTGTGGTGGCACACACCTGTAACCTAAACACTTCGGAAGCTGAGGCAGGCAGGTCCAGCGTTGAGGCCAGGAGAGGCGGCATATATCTTCAGTCCCTGCACTCGAGACACAGCAGCAGGCAGATCTCTATGGGTTTGAGGCCAGCCTGGTGTACATAAGTTTCAGGCAACCATGGTTACATAGAGAGATCGTCAAACCATTAAAGGTCTAGAGTAGCCTGGGCAGTTGAGCTCAGAACTAGGAAAAATGTTCAGTGAGTAAATAGCTTGCCAAGAAGCCTGGTGATCCCTGGAACCTTGTGAAGCTGCAAGTGCTGGCCCCTCCAAAGGTGTCCCCTGTACACATGGCTGTTCCCACATAATAAACCTTTAACACCCACCCACCCCTATGGAGTACACACTATGGATGGCTTCTCAGCATTGACTGCATTTGATCCTTCTGCCCTGCAGGAATTTTTATGGCTTTCCATGCTCAAACTTTGGGGTTTCCTGGCTGATTCATAATGACCTTGCCACACGTAGGCGAGTATAGTTGACGCTTCCAATCTCAGACTCAGAAAGCTAGGGCAGGATGGTTGAGTTTCAGGAAAGCCTGACACTACATTCTGAGACCCAGCCTGGGAAAAAACAAATCTTGGCCACTGTGAGTGGTAAATGTGAAATGCTGACACCAATCTTCATTTGGGACACTCACAGCTCTGGGAGCACCCCATCTCCAGAGACTTGCTATCTCTCCCATTTTTGCAGGGAGAGAGGTTCAAGATAGGGTCTCTGTGTAGCCCTGGCTGTCCTGGAACTCCATAGACCAGGCTGACCTCAAACTCCAGAGATCCACCTGCCTCTGCCTCCTGAGTGCTGGGACTAAAGACGTGTGCCAACACCACCTGGCCCATTTTTTTTTTCTATAATGCAACTTCAGAATCAATGTGACTTTTTGTTTTGTTTTGCTTTTGTTTTTACCAAAAACGGGTGGCATTTTTATCTGGGCCGCATTTAATCTGTATGTGAATGAGATTTGCCATCTGTGCTGTGTCTTCTTATGCAGTCATGTGGTCCTTCTCAATTTGCTTCATGTCCTTGTGTCTTAAAGCTTTTATAGGTCTTACGTTATTGCTGAGAATATTTTGGGATTTATGACTGCTGTGACTGAGGTTCTGTTTGTAAGTCGGACGCTCTCTCCGTGCTCAGACTTGCATTTTTTTTTTGTTTGTTTGTTTTCGTTTTTCGAGACAGGGTTTCTCTCTGTAGCCCTGGCTGTTCTGGAACTCACTCTGTAGACCAGGCTAGCCTCGAACTCAGAAATCCGCCTGCCTCTGCCTCCCAAATGATGGGATTAAAGGCGTGCGCCACCACCACACAGCAGACTTGCATTTCTTGAAGGGAGGGCAGCCTTACCACGTGGCAGACGGGAGGCCAGAGGACCACGGGCAGCAGTTTTTCTTCCCTTGCATCACGTGGCTCCCAGTCATCCAGCTTGGCCGAAACACCTGTATCCGTTACGCTGCACCATCTTGCCACCACCGTCTCACAAATAAAATACATTTACTTATTTCTTAAAGATTTATTAATACATATGAATGTTCTGTTGGCATATCTGCCGAAGAGGGCATCAGATTCTATCATTCCAGATGGCTGTGAGGCACCATGCGGTTGCTGGGAATTGAACCTCTGGAGGGGCAGCCAGTGCTCTTAACCACTGAGCCATCTCTCCAGCCCCCAGTAAATCATATTTTTTAGATAGGATCTCACCCCATATGTAGTGACCCTGGCTAGCCTGGAGCTCACTATGTAAATCAAGCTGGCTTCTAGTTCATAGATAGCCTGCTGGAATGCTGAGATTAAATGCATGTGACCCCACACTTGGACAGTTTTTAAAAACTCAATTAATATATATATATGTGTGTGTGTGTGTGTGTGTGTGTTGTGTTCTCCCTGCGTGTATGCCTGTGCCCAGTGCCCTCAGAGGCCCAAAGATGATGTAGGATCCCCTGGAGCTGGAGTTAGAGGTGTCAGTGAGCTACAGCATAGGTACTAAGAGTTGAACCTGAGTCCTCTGGAAGAGTTTGATTCCCCAGAACCCACATAAAGATGGAGAGTGAGCCGAGCATGGTAGCTTGTCTCTTTAATCCCAACAATTAGGCGGCAGAGCGCTTTTGTATCAGCCAGGGTTGCACAGAGAGACCTTGTCTCAAAAAAAAAAAAAAAAAGGAAAAAAAACTGAGAACTGACTTCACAAAAGTTTCCTCTGATTGCACACACAAGAATAATAACTATCAAGTCACTTGATTTTCTAAAATATTTTTAATTTGAAATATATTTTTGAAAAGAGAAGAAAGCTTTGAGATCAACAACAATCCCTCTTTCCACATCAACAGTTTGGTTTGGTTTGGTTTGGTGTTTTGGTTTGGTTTGGTTTGGTGGTTTGGTTTGGTTTGGTTTGGTGGTTTGGTTTGGTTTGGTGGTTTGGTTTGGTTTGGTTTGGTTTGGTGGTTTGGGTTTGGGTTTGGGTCTGGGTTTGGGTTTGGTTTGGTAAGACAGGGTCTCACTATATAGCTCTGGCTGTTCAGAAACTCAGGGATCTGCCTGTCTGCCTGCCTCCGCGTGCCTCTGCCTCCTGAGTCCTGAGATTAAAGTTGTGAGCCAACACTGCCCACCTGGCCTCGAGACTTTTAGCTGCGCCAATAGGATCAAAAGTTTTCCAAACATGCCTTGAACTGGGCTGTTGGAAATGAAGACATGACAAAAGTTACAAACTGGCTTGGACAGTATGAGGAGTCGAGGCTGGACCACCAGAAACCTTGTATTCCTCTAGCATTATATTCTGAGTGATTCAATCAGCTTTCTATCTCTGTCCCGAAGTACTGGAGACAATCAAGTAGTCAAATAGGGAGAAAAGGTTCACTTTGGCTCATAGTTTCAAAGGCCTCAGTCCATAGTCACTGGCCCTTTGCTTTGGGCCTGTGGTGGCATGGTACATCATCGCTTACCTCACGGTGGGAGAGAAAGGAGAGAAAGGAGAGGTCTAGGATTCCAATATCCCCTTCCAGTGCACACACCCAGTAACCTAACTTCCTCCCACTAGGCCTCACCTCCTAATGGGTTTCCGCTACCTCCCAATAGCAGCGCGGCCTGGGGACCCAAGCCTTCAGCATATGAGTCTTTAAGGGCATAGTATAGACCTTCCCTGTCCTTCCTCCCAGCTCTGTCATGGACCAGACTGGGGAGATGCTGAAAGCCCTGTAGCGAGTGATGGCTTCAGACCTCAGGTTTGAGTGTGGTAGTGACAGCAGACATTGTCAGACACCGACACAGGGAAGCAGATTACATTTTTCTTTACTCTCCCAAGCCCCTCCCAAGCCCCAGCCACCATCAGAAAAGGACCTGGTTTGGCAGCATTTCAGCCCTTCTCATCATCCCGCTGAGGTTCCTGAGATGGGGAGAGAAAGAAAACAAAACAGTAATGATGCCCCATCAAAAGGTAAGTATTTCATGTTCTAAGGCAGTCCATGGATCTCATTCCCCACTTGAGATATGCATATATGTGTATGTTGACCACTGAGCTACATGCCCAGCCCTTTTGTGATTGCTATGTGCAGTATATGTGCACTTGTGGGTATGGGTGCCCATGTTGTGTGCCTATACACACACACATGTGGAGGCCAGAGGCAGATGTTAAATAGCTTTTATCACACTCCAACTTATTTCTTGTTACGGTTTATTTACTTGTATATTTATGAGTGTTTCCCAGCATATAAGACTGTGTGTACCACGTACACACCTAGAACATGAAGAGGCCACAAGAAGGTGTTCGATTCCCCGGAAATGGAGTTACAGATGGCTGCGAGCCACCATGTGAGTGCTAGGAATTGAACTCAGGACCTCTGCAAGAGCAATGCCATGCTCTTAACCCCTGAGCCATCTCTCCAGCCCGGCACCTTATTTTTGACACAGGGTCTCAAGCACACAGTTTCAGCTAGACTGGTTCGGTAGTGAGACCCCGGGATCCACAGAGTCTGTGCCTCAAACACTGGAGGCGCAGGAACGCGTGGGTGCCCAAGGTCACACCCAAGCACTGTGAGTTCGAACTCAGCACCCCTCTGTTTACAACCATTGCTCTCACTCACTGGCCAGCTCCTTAGCGTCCCCGTTCTTTTGATTTTTTGAGACATCCTCTGAGGAGCCCATGTTGTCCTCAGACTCCCAGTGAGCCTCCTCCTGCCTCAATTTACCCAGTGCTTATAAGTGGGATTGCAAGTATGAGCCACCATGCTCAGCTGTTAAAAAAAAAAAAAAGATATTTTTTGAGACCCTTGATTGGATAACCTGAAGACATGTTTTTTTCAGGTGTCATAACGGCCTCATATTCCCATTTTAAACACTTTCCTCTTAGAGCCAGGTGGCAGCCCACACCTGTAATCCCAGCACTTAGGAGGCTGGGGCAAGATAGTCTTGAATTTTAGGCCAACCTGAAGTAATAATTAGTTCCCAAAGTTTAGATATAAAAACTTCCAGTATCAGGCTCTAAAGTGGAGTGCTTTCTTAGGATGCACCAGTGAAAGGCTGGGGGCATGACTCAAAAATAGAACACCTGCCTAGAATTCCCCAGTGAGGGGCTGGGGGCGTGGCTCAGTGGTAGAGCCCTGCCTAGAATCCCCCAGTGAGGGGCTGGGGGTGTGGCTCAGTGGTAGAGCCCCTGCCTAGAATCCTCCAGTGAGGGGCTGGGGGCGTGGCTCAGTGGTAGAGTCCCTGCCTAGAATCCCCCAGTGAGGAGCTGGAGGCGTGGCTCAGTGGTAGAACCTCTGCTTAGGAGACCAGATATCTGTGGTTGGTTCATGCCTCACAAATCCAAGGTGAAAATCTATGCATCAATGGTATATAAATCATTGCAGACATCTTTTAATATCTAAGCTATTTTAATATCTTAAAATAATGCTGGATTGCCTTTGTGTGCTGTGTCCGCAATCCAATGCAGATCAATGTAGCCCAACACACTAGCCACATCTCACTGTTGAGAAGTTGAAGTGTGTTTGGTATCTAAGAATTGGATTTTTAATGATTCTTAGCTTTGGTTACTTTTTTATTTTGAGACAGGGTCTCTCTATACAGTCCAGGATGTCCTCAAACTCACCTCAGTCCTCCTCACCTCAGTCCTCCTGCCTCAGCCTCCTGGGGTTACAGGCATGTGCTACCACACCCTATCTCAAAATAAGACAGGAGAAAAAGAAGGTCGTGGATGCAGCTCCACGGTAAAGCTTTCACCTCCCATGAGTAAGGCTCAGGTCTGATGCAAGATATTTGGTCACACTGTGAATCCCGAAATTGTGTCACTAGAAAAGAAATCTGTTTCTAGCTGTGGTCTGGCTCAGCCCTTAGCACACACCTTTGTTCCCAAACAACGGAAGTAAAGTTAGTTGGTAGAAGGAAGCGCCCACGTTTGAAGTAGTGTCTAATTGAGTGGCAGACAAAGTGACGAATCAGAGAAAGATTTGACAGAACAGGATCCGCCCAGCTCTCACAAGCAGAGAGGGGAAAGGGAAGCTACTTAAGAGAGCAGTGCAGAGATGGAGAGAGAGTAAGGAGGCAGTCTGACTGGACAGTTGTGCAGGGGCAGGCTGCAGAGAGAGAGAACAAGCTAGACACAGCGTGAGCCGGAGAATGAGAAGGAGCAAGTCAGTAAGAAGCTGAGAGAAGCCAGACTGAATCAGTCAGCTGGGAGAGGAGTTTGAGCAGAACAGCTGAGTTGAATCGGCCAGCCAGAGATCAGACAGAACTAGAAAGGGGTGAGCTTATTCAGCAGTAAGTCTCAGGGGCTAGAAACCGTTCTAGGCCTAGATAAGATTCTACGGAGGCTAGAAGCTTCCAGGACTAGGCCTAGGTTAGCAGAGGGAGGAGGAAGTCTCAGATGACAGTCACATCAGAGGATTAAAAGTTACCTTACACAGGTCAATCTCCAGCACTTGAAGGAGACAGGAGGAACAAGAAGTAGCCGGCCTGAAGAGTGGTGCAGTTTGTGAAATGCCTGCTTAGCAGAGGCAGGCTCTGGCTTCACACCGCAACACCTAAGAACCTGCGGATGGTGGCCACACCTGTAATCCCCAGTGACTGGGAGGTAGAGGCAGATGGATCCCTAGTTGAAGGTCATTCTCAGCCCCATACCAAGTTTGAGGCCATCCTAGGTAATGTGAGACTCTGTCTCAAAGGAGGGAGGTAAAGAGTAGAGGGGGTAGCTCGGACCTGTAATCTCAACACTTAGGCGGCTGAGGCAAGGGGATTGCTGGTCGTTCAAGGGCAGCCTGAACTACATAAAGGCTTCTAGGACAGCCTGGTCTCTACAGTAAGACTGTCTCGAGTTGGGGGTAGGAGAGTGTCAGTAATATTCATTGAGTAGAGAGGCTTGTTGCCCGGTTTGATGATCTGAGTTCAATCCCCAGAAACCACACTGTGGAGTCCTCTAACTTGCATATACACGTCATGGCATTCGTGTGTTCTCTCTCTCAATATAAACTAAAACAAAGATGTGCTGTGTCGTGATATTCAGGATGAGGGTCAGCTGAGCTGGAGATCCTAAATAACGCCCTGCCCCCGTTCACTCACTTGCACGCCTTCTCCTTGCCCTCCACCGCACCTCACTCACGTCCAGCTCCACTATGGCTGCTACCTTTTCTTGATCTCTTCATCGATAGCACCCACAAGTTTCTTCAGACCGGACTCATCCACAAAGCCATCACCTTTCTGGGTATGGAGGAAAAAAAAGAGTCCAGACGTGACTCAACCTCCTGGTACCCCATCCCTGCCCTCTGAACCCAGAATCACCTTCTTGGAGTGAATCAACTTCCCGTCCACAAACACTTCAAACTCCCCCGTAACCTGGGTAGCTCTTTCCTCCTCCTGCCGAGGGAATGTTGCGGGTGGAGGAGGCTGAGGGTTTCCTGGGGTCCTGGGAACCCTGACCACTCCCCCTGCCCCCCCTCCCCAGGCTACCAGTATGCTTACAAACTCCAGAAGGTTTGGAAATTGATGCTCCAGGGTCCTTTTCAGTATAATGTACTGAGAGGGAGGAGATGAAGTTATGGGGTCATGGTCACAGGACAGAAAAACAGGGACACCCCCCCACCCCACCCCACCCCACCCCCGCTTCCATTCTTCTCATTTGCTCCCTTACATTCTGAAGGTGAGGGGAAACTACTCACCCGAAGGCCATAGCTTCAGAGGCCACTGCAAGCAGAGGGTAGGGGGAAGGAGGCAGGAAAGAAATGAGGGAGACGTTATAGCAGCAGTGAGCCTGAATCTGCCCCCCATCCCTGCCTGCTCGGACACTTCCCCCACTCCCAGGGTACCGTCTCAGGGGAGAAATCCTCACACTCCTTACATCCCTGAGTTCCCACATAACTCTGTCCATTATCCCTCATCCTTTACCCCCCCCCCTCGCCCAGCTACAGAACCCTCCTCGCTGGTCTTTCCACACGCTGCAGGTGTGCATTTGCACGCTGCCTCGGGGCCTTTGTACCGGTAGGTGATTGCAGAATGGTCCTCCCTAGGCTGTGCATGGCTCCTCTCCCTTCCTCAGGTCACCTCAGCAAGGCCTTCTTGAGCCTCCCAGTAGAGACTGTGACCTTCCCGGATGCCTTCCTGTGCATCCCGGCTGTGGCATATTGCCTGCCCCTCCACACTAGCATGTCAGAGCTACAAGGACAGGAGTCTCCATCTGTCCTTTGCTCTGTGCCTGGAGCCACAGACACCCGATGAGAGTGTAACAATGGCTGTTGAGCCAGCTGTGGTGCTCCGTACTCTAACCAGAGCATGTAGGAGGATCTCTGTGGATTCCAGGTCCGCCTGAGCCACATAGCGGGTGTTCCAGGACAGCCAGGGATACATAGGGAGGAAGAAGAGGGGGAGGGAAAGGGGGAGGAGGAGGAGGGGGAGGAGGAGGAGGGGGGAGGAGGGAGAAAGAAAAGAGAAGAGAGAAGAAAGAATGAAGAGAGACAGGAGGGAGGGAAGAGGGGACCAGCTTGAGAAGAGAAGAAACAGTTGCACTGTGGGGCAGGAGATGAGCAGATGGAAGTTGCCTGTCAGGGCCAGAGAGAGGAAGGACAGGACGAAGGGTGTGCGACAAGGGCCTGGAGTCCTCCCGAGCAACAGAAGCAATGGGGAAGACAGCCCTGACCTGCGCTGCTCCACCCGGGTAAGCCAAAAGCCTGACGCAGCATCTGAGAGCTGTATTCAGCCTCTGTGCTTGTTCACCAAATGCCCCACTACGTCCCCCACCCCTGCTCTTCATTCAACAGCCTCATTCCTCTTCAAGGGTCACCAGGGAGCAAAACCATCCTGACCACCCCGCTCGGCTCTGAAGTGGACAGCCTCTCCTCCTTCCTCAGGAAGTGCCTCTCCGCTCTCAGTTCGGCAGGCTGGCTTAGGGTGTGCATTGCCCGGCCCTCAGAGTAAAGTGCAGCGAGACATGGAAATGGATTCCCAGTCGTAGGAATCACCCGATGAATGCGTGAATGCATGCATGCATGAATGAGAGTGAATGCATGCACGAAGTTGAGAGGCAGGATTCAGGCAGCTAAATGAATGATTCTGGCTGCCTCCAGGTGGGAAACGCCCATCAACAAACGAATAAAAGCGAATGACAACAGCCCAGTCACTCAAACAAAAGCTTGAAGGAAGAGAAACTTAGAAGCAGCTTAGTCAATCAACTTGCAAATGAAAGCAAATGAATGAGTGAAGATCAAAGGCAGAAATCTCAAGGGTAGATGGGAGTGAAGGAAAGAAGCCGAGAGCCAGGGTGGGAAACCGAACAGAGCTTTCTGATCTCAAAGGGACCGACAAATGGTCGTCAGAACTCTGTGGACCTGCCTCCCTGCCCAGCGCGCACACCTAGGCCTTCACAGACATGCCCAGAGCTCCAGCACCTGCCGGCTCCAATTCTCTCGCGAGTAGGGGGAGCCCCTCACCAGTACATCACACGGATCAAGATTCTGTTGGCCGTTGGGACGTCCTCGCTGGTGGAGGGGACCTCCTTAGTGGAAACGAGGCTGAGTGCTGGGGAAATTGCGGAGAGCCCACCCAGATCAGGGGTTTCTTTTAGTGGAGAGGCCAAGAACTCTAGTGAAGGTTTGGGGCCCGGAATGGGGCCCAATGTACTGGAGGGCATTGCAGTGGAAGCCAAGGAGTCTACTGGAGGGGCGAAGTCTGGTATGGAGCCTCGTGTCTTGGAGGCCGAGGGAGTGAGCACTGGAACGGGCCCCTGGATGGCCTCCGCTAGGCTGTGGATCGAGGGTCTCTGCTTTTGATCCTTCGAGAGAGGGCTAGCACCCACGGAAGAAAGGGGCTGTGCCGTGGGCGAGGCCAAGCTCGGGAAGAACTTCGCTGGAGAGATCGTTGGAAAGCCCCGACCTAGATGCGAGGCCCGGACCGGTGCCGGAGCCCGCACCGGTGCTACGGCGGGGACGGGAGCTGGAGTTGGGGCTGGAGGTAGGGTTGGGGCAGGAGCTGGGGCTGGAGTTGGGAACCGGATTGGAACAGGGGTAGGGACTTGGGCAGGAGTCCGGACCCGGGCGGTGGTTCGGACCGGAGTCGGGTTGTGCGCCGGGCTCGGGGCCCTGACTGGGGTCGCGGTTCGGACGGGAGCAGGTGTCCGGGTCGGGGTGTTTGCCCGGGCTGAGGAAGGAGCGGGGATCCGCGCCTTGTTATTCATGGGGACCAGGTGAGACCCTGGCACCCCAGGCTGAGCGTCCCGCGTCGCCCTGCTTCCTTGGGCAGGGAGAGCTTTCGCACCCCAGGGTTCTAAAACCACAAGCAGGCACTGTTACACCGGGTTCCAGTCAGGCGGAGATTCCAAGCTCTGGGCCAGGGAGGCGCTGCTGTCCTCAGATCTCACCGAATAGACTCCGCCCCTGTCCCCACCCCCAGCAGGAGCCGACTCTGCCCGGAGCTTCCCACAGCCACCCTGACACTCGGGCGTTTAGCCGGTTGAGTTTATTAAGCGCCCTCCTAAGAGCTTGGGATTCCTGGGACAAAGCATCTCTGCCGGACTAGCTTCCTGCCCGTGATAGGAGGTCACACCCAGCATCAGAGTGACAGCCTAAAGCCATCAGAGCAGGGGAGAATACCAGCACCCATACAACTCAGAAGGGAGGCACCTCTCTGCAGGATTAGAGAGGACCTCTGAGAATAGGCGACAGCGACAAGGTCCGGAGAAAAATAATGACGACCCACAGAAATAATGCACTTTACACAGAGAACAGAAGCTATGTGTAACCTTCCCAGCCTTGAGCAGGCCAAGCGGACCTTCACCATTTGCCACGACAGGCCTTATCGACCTTGGTAGAGACATCTGCCCTGGCTGCAGTTGCAGGTTCCCATGGTAACTTAGCTGTTTGGTTGCTCTGCAACATACTCCAGCTGAAGCGGCGGGTGGGTTTTGTGGTTTTCCCTTTATAAACTCAGTGCTCATTATTAAACTCTATGAGCCTTGATCAGAACCTTGTCTTGGCTCCATGCTTCTCTCGCCACCCTTCCCACACCCCACCCCACCCCCGCCGCCCTTTTCATTTCCAGCCCTCCATTCAGGTGAACCCTGTTCATCCTCTGGCCGCTGGACGGCTAACATGGGGCCTGAAAACGGGGGACCCGCTGAGAAACGCTGTCATGGTTGGAGCGCTCCACAGAAAACAGAAAAAGTCAAAGGATTCTCGAAGCTCTGTAAGCAAGAAATGGCATTGACTTCTTTTCTTATTTGGATGCTAGCGCTAGTTTATAAATCTTATCTTTTGGAGTGTTGTATTTGGCTGTTGTTGCAGGAGTTGCATTGGGGGTGGGGGAGATATTAGCTAGGCGGTAGAGATGTTGACCCGAGCCGACTTCACCTAGGGTTAACAGCAAAATGGGGCAGGGAAATACTAAACAGACATTTCACTGTGAGGCTCACAGAAGGATGCTTTAACAGGGGGGTGTGGCTCAGAGTTCTCACAGCGTTCACAAAGCCCTGGGTTCAAGTCCCTATACCACACAAACCAGTTACGGTGACTCAGGACTATCGTTCCAGCACTCAGGAGATAAAGGCAGCCACGTGGATCACTCTCAGGTATAGATAGATAGATAGATAGATAGATAGATAGATAGATAGATAGATAGATAGATATAGAGATATAAATCCAGGATGCATATGACCCTGTTGATGTCCTAAGAGATATCAGCCTCTGGCTGTGACTTCTTTTGAGTAATATTTCTAAGCCAGGGAACATCCTTCTGGAAAGGGAGCACACACATAGGTGGGGCACACACATAGACCAGACAGCCCATAATAATGTGGATAATGATGACAGCTTGGGCCACACTGTGTCAGCTCAGCCTCAGGAGAGCTATTAACTATGTCTGCCTGACCAAGATCCCGTGAAAACTCTCGGCCCCAGAATGCAGATGTGCTTCCTGCTACACAGATGTCTCATGGACATTATCACACTGAGTTGCCAAGAGAAGTCAGTTCAGTCCATTCTTCCACGGGAAGAACACACAGATGTTTGTACTAGGAACTGACCTGGAGCCTGGCATAGCCCCTTCTCTAGATGGCTGGGTTTTACATTTATTTTTTGTTTTGGTTTGCTTTCTGTTGTCTTTGAGAAAGACATACAGCTGTATAGCTTAGTCTAGCCTTCAATGTACGACCCTCCTGCCTCAGCCTTTTTTTTCCCTTTCTGAGACAGTCTCACTATATATCCCTGACTGTCTTGAAACTTGCTCTGACCAGGTTGGCCTTGAACTCACAGAGAGCCACTGCCTCTGCCTCCCAAAGCTGGGATTAAAGGCTTGTGCCATCATGCCAGACTCTCCTGGCTGATCTTAATTATATTTTAATTTTAATCTAATCCCCTGTGCTACAGAATAACCAGAAGCCCAAAAACTTTTGGCGAACCCTTCTATCAAAGGACCAAGCCTAGTCCAGTGTGGTGGTGCATGCCTGTAATTCACAGTATGCAAGAAGCAGAAGCTAGAAAGTAGCTGCAAATCTGATGCTAGCTTCGTTTGCAATCTAGCAGGTTTACAGAGCAGCCAAGGCTACAGAGAAACCGTGTGTTGACAAACAACAGGCCAGGGAGATGGCTGAGAGGTTGAGAGCACTGACTGCTCTTCCAGAAGTCTTGAGTTCAATTCCCAGCAACCACATGGTGGCTTCACAACCATCTGCGATGGGATCTAATTCCTTCTTCTGGTGTGTCTGAAGACAGAACCGCCATATAAAATAAATACATGTTTAAAAAGAAAAACGACAACAAAACAGAAAACAGTTCAGTGGCTCTCAACCTTCCTGATGCTGCGACCCCTCAATACAGTTCCTCATGTGGTGACTCTCAGCCATAAAACCTTTTCATAACTGTGACTTTGCTATTGTGATGAATCCTAATGTACATTATCTGATATGAAGGAAGCGACCCACAAGTTGAGAACTACTGGTTTACATCATGAACTCCAGCTAGCACAAAATCCTGCCTCCATTTAAAAAAAAAAAATCCTATTTTCCCCCTTATGAGACAGCTCTCTTATTTCAACACCAAAAACAAGTTCACCTGTTGGGGTGACACACACACACACACCCCCGGCACACGCCCTTGGGAGGCAGAGGCAGGTGGATCTCTGTGAGTTAGTTCTAGGACTGCCAGGGCTTTTACAGAGAGAAACTCTGTCTTGGGAAAATAAAAAGTTCTCAGCCTGTTGTAGTTGATCAAAATAAGAACCTTTATAGATGTCTCTGGGGAGATGAGAAAGACTAGTTTATAAATAAGCAATATGTACAATAAAGCCCTTTCAAACAGTCTCCAGTCGGTGTGGGGAGGTAGAGATTGGAGACCACAAAGCAAATAAAATCATTCAGGCTCCATCTCCAGGCAATGATGGAGAGGGGGCAGGATCAGGCCTGGAAAAAGAAATGAGAAAGAAGCATTAGAAAAGATACTGGGGATGGGGTCGGGGGCGGAGCTGGCTGCCGCTGAGCCAAGTGCCCAAGGCCTGGAATGTGGGAACCTGGGATGTGGCTACCTCTCGTGCATAAATGGAAGGGGCTGGTATGACATAAATGGATCGAGAGTCTCCATCTTCCGGGTGAGTCCAGTCAGCCGACGAACTGTGGGAGGAGAGAAACGGGGGACAATTCAGACCCCACGAATTCTCTTTTTTTTTTTTTTTGTTTCTCACACCCATCGGAGAGGGAAACCTCAGACTAGCAAGGAAGAACCTACAGTGACCCCATCAGAAGAGAGGGCTAGAACACCTGGGCAAGAAAAGTCCAATCGGATAGAACCAGTCAATTGGCCATAGTGACAAGGTGTGCCGACCTCACCTGGGGCCATCCCCAGCACCGTCTGGTGATCTCAGGTTGTTGAGTGCATCCGGGAGCGTGTGGACGGACGGCTCCCGGGTCCCGGAAAGCAGGCGAGTCCTAGTATCCCGGCCAGGACCTCCTCGGCGGCGAACGTGGATGAGCAAGAGTGCGGCGCCAGCCAAACCCGCGGCCGCCAGCAGCCCCAAGGCGGGAGGCAGAAGGAGGAGGCGCTGTGGGTCGGCCCGCCTCAGGCCCCGCGGGGCGGCGGGCACCGCGTCCGCGCCGTCGGGGCGCACGGCGACCTCGCATCTCACGCCCATGTAGCCGGGCGCGCAGGCGCAGACGAGGCCGGAGAAGTGGGCGTAGCAGCGGCCTCCGTGCGCGCACGGGCGGGCGGCGCAGGGGTCGGCGCGCTCCCGACAGTCGCGCCCGCCGAAGCCCAGCGCGCACGAGCAGCGGCGCGTGCCACCGCCCTCCACGCACGTGCCGCCGTTGGCGCAGGCGCGGCCGGCGCAGTCGTCCAGGTCGTGCTCGCAGCGCGGCCCCGCGAAGCCCGCGCGACAGCGGCAGCGCAGCGCGTGGCCCAGGTCCAGGCAGAGGCCACCTACGGGGAACGGGTGTCAGCGCCCACAGATCGTCCGCACCCCACGCCCCCTGTGTCTTGTCCTCCGTTGGACCGTACTTTAGAAGCTCCCCGTCTGGATGTCTGAAGAGCCAGGTCTTTGGGCCAGCTGGCTCCCGTCCACGGCTTTTTTAAAAGTTTGAGCGGGTCTCAGCGTGTGGCTAGCCTGGAACATAGTGTCCTCCTGTGTTCTCCTCCCAAGTGCTGGGGTTACAGCTGCAGGCCAGCATGCAAGGCTAGCCATGGCTACTTGAATCTCTCTCTCTCTCTCTCTCTCTCTCTCTCTCTCTCTCTCTCTCTCTCTCTCTCTCTCTCTCTCTCTCTCTCTCTGTGCTCTTTTCTCCGGGAAGCCCCCTCACTTTCCCTCCATTTCAGCCGAGAGCCACTGTGTCCTGTGCCCTCATCCAGCCCTGATGTGTGTGACCTGAGAGTGGGCAGAAGAGCCCCTGGGAAAAGACAGCTGCTGGTACTTGCAAAAGGGCATTGCCTGGTACACTCCCTTCTGTCACTCAGTCCAAAGGAATTAGCCCAGGGTAGCTTTGAATTTATGGTCCTCTGGCCTCAGCCTTCAGAGGGCTAGGATTAACTGTGCCAACCTGTTCAACTGTAAACAGCATGCCAGACTCACCGTATCTACCAGAGCCGTTTCATTCAAGATCTTGTTTAACCTCTGTTTGGGTTTTTGTTGTTGTTTGTTTGTGTGTGTGTTTGGAGCTAGCCTGGAACCGATTATATACGCCAGAATGACCTTGAACTC